GGCGCGGCGATGTAGCTATGTTCTAACTCTGGGTTGCGCCCCCTGCGGGGCATCCCCGGCTAAGAAATGCCCACGCCGGCTTTTCTGTTTCCCGGCCCGCCGAGTTTGCTCACCCTACCCGTCCCGCTCCCCTGTGCTTTGGGGATGCGATTGTGGCACCTAAGAGCCGGGAGGTAGAGGAACTTATCAACGAAGAATAGCCGAACTGTGGTGGCGCAAGGGCCATCATTCGTTCAGGTGGAAGGGTAGAGCTGAACAAAGTTGGCCAGACTCTAGAGTAGGGGTCCAGCTTGCATTATGTTCCTATTCCAATCCCAGGAAGGTCACTCTTGGTTGCTTGCTTTGCTTCTCACCGACTTTACTGCCAGCTGGCCCTAGAGAAGCTGGCTCACCAGAATGGATGTACGAAAGGGTCTTTCCTATAGGGGAGGTTTTCCGCTGCTCTATGCATTTCTGCTCTCCAAGCCTGTATGTCTTGGACTATGTTTTGCTAGACCTTTGGCCCCCTGGGTTGTGCTTGAGGCAGAACAGGGGTTGACAATGAGACTCTAGACATTTGGAAATGGGAAAGATGAGTACCTTTGCTTGTCCAATATTGCCTGAAACTCCCCAGTCCTTTGGTGTTTCTTAGACAGTTCCCGATGCTGTTTCTTTCCACTTTCCGTTTCCACGCCCCCCCTCGCCCGCCCCCAAGTATTGCTCCTCCGAGCTCTTGTTTCTTTGAGGGCTGTTCCTTCTGTTTTCTGAGCTTGGCGTCACTTGAAAGGCAATGTTCCCTTAAAGACCTTCTGATAAATTGCTCCATACCACATCCTATTTGCTCCTCTTCCTCCACCCCCGGGATTAAGCCTAGTGAGGGTCATTGGCTAGGTGAGGGGCAAGTGGCTCTGTGACCATGGCTGCTTCTATCTGTGGGTGAGCAGTATCTCCACACTTGCTAGGATTTGGGTACCTTCACTCAGGTTCCCAGGGAAAGCCCAGGTACTTTTGGTTTTTCGAGACAGGGTTTCTCTGTGAGCTTTGGAGCCTATCCTGGCACTCACTCTGGAGACAAGGCTGGCCTCAAACTCACAGAGATCCGCCTGCCTCTGCCTCCCAAGTGCTGGGATTAAAGGCTTGCGACACCGACGCCCGGCCCCAGGTATTTTCTTTTCCCACTCCCTACCCAACCTTATGTTCATGGGGAAGGTGTCTGGAGCAGGCAGGAGCTTGATCAGCTGGCCCTCCCCATCCTTCCAACTATTGCTTGGGGCTCATCCTATCATGCCAATTGTCCAGATTACATTCAACAAAACTCCTGGGTGTATCAAGGAAGCCTGGAGCTGTTTAGACATGAGAGTTTGGTGCTTTGAGTAGGTCTCATCTAAATATCCAGATATCACAGATGTCTGCTTTTTTCCACAGCTTTGTGGGAGACCAAGGGCTTTTCCCTTAGCAGATCAAGCTGCACACTGTAGGGTAACTTCTGTCACCTGGCTTCCTCAGAGGTCACAGTTCAAGGGGTGAGGAATCTGTCCTCCTCAGCTTGGAGAGCAATATTCTTCCTCAAAAATTTTCCTGCTCCATTATCATGTCACCACCTTAGAGCATTTAGCAGCTCCTGGCATTCAGGCCTCAACCTGGTAAATGGGACCTGTAGATACCAGAGAGTACCAGAGAGCTTGGAATTCATTGAGGGAGCCTCACTCTGCCCTGCCCCCATGCCAGGCTCCTTTGCAGCTCCCTTAGCTTCCTTCCAGCAGGCTGCTATCTTTTCTCCAGGTGCCTCTGTTGGGAGGAGTCACATGACTGGCAAGAAAGCCAGCTGCTCACCTGACTCCTTTTCCCTTCCCCTGGGGGAACCAGGCAGGCACCACTTTCACAGTGGGGCAAAGGAAGGCTTCCTGAGTGGGAAGGATGGCAACAGTTATGTGTTTTTCTGAAAGCACTTAATCACTCATTAACCTTAAAGGGACAAGCAGTCTACCTTAGCCTATCCATAGGGATACAGGGATCTAGAGAGACAGGGGACACCAAAATCATACAGGCACAAAGCCTGAGCTGGCACTAGGTATGGGGTAGGAGCCTGTAAGCTGAGTCAGGGCCTGAGGCCACATGGTGTCCTAGTCCTGGGGGCCTTGGGTAGTTTATCTGCCTGGTCCTCGTTTTGTCTTTGTACCACCATTCATGGGTGTGTGCCCTGAGGGCAATTGGAGGTCTCACCCATTTGGAACAGAGAGGCCACCTGCCCCTTGGTTCTATTTTTTTTGGGGGGTGGACAGAGTTTCTCTGTAACAGCCCTAATGTCCTGGAACTTGTTTTGTAGGCCAGGCTGGCCTCAAACTCACAAGGGTCCACCTGCATCTGCCTCCCAAGTTCTGGGATTAAAGGCCTGCTCCACCTCTGCCCAGGCTGTCCCATGGTTCTTATAGCTTTCTAGACTTCTGGACAGAAGTCCCTCCCTCATCATGGTCTTTTTCTGGGTAAGCATCTGGCTGTGTCCTAAGTCATAACAGGTATGAGAGGCAGCTACCTTCTGGACCAAGTCTCTCTACCTGCCCATGTAGTTAGGAGAGGTTCAGAGATGGTGTGGTGGGAGGAAGGAGCCTTTGCTATGGTCCAGTGATCAAGGCAGAGATCAGCAGGGATGGGATCTCCTTCCTGACTACCTCCTGTTGTCTTTTAGTCTCCATCTCTTGGCCTGGATGCCCCAGGATATAATGCAAGGAGTGGAACTAACTAATTAACAGAGAGCTGACTGGCTCTGAGTGGGTCCATCTAAAGGTGGTGGGTGCTAGGGGCTACTGGCTTCATTGTTTGCAAGTTGCTGTAGTGTGAGAAGGCAAATCCTTGGTGAGTTGGCAGTGGTCATCTAGGGAGAGGAGACAGGAATAACTGCTCATTTCTAGGAGAAACTTCTGGTTCCTGCAGACAACATCTAGGTGCCAGGAGGCATTTTTTGCCTTGGCTAAGATCAAAGTCTGAGTGACGAAGTCCAGAGTGGATCTTCTCATTCTTCCTGTCTGCCCCACCCACCTGACTGTTGCCTTTTCCCTCTAGAGTCTGGGCTGGTGTCTGAGCACTTCTCGCAGGCCCCACAGAAGCTGTCCTTCTACAGCTGGTATGGCAGCACCCAGCTCTTCCACTTTCGAGTGCCCCCAGACACAGTGCTGCTTCGCTGGCTGCTACATGCGTCCCAGAGCGGTCCCTCATGCACCAACGTAGAAATCACAGTGTACGTACCCAGTATTCTGTCCCTAGCATCCATGCCTGGCTGAAACCCTGTCCCTGACCCTTGACCTGATCTCTTCCAGGCATTTCCGCTATGGCGCCCCTCCTGTCATCAACCCGTTGGGCTCTAGATTCCCTGACAACACCTTGAAGCAGGTCTCCTTCCATATCAGGACATTGCTGAGTACCATGCTACTGGGCAACACCTCTGTCAGCATCTCCCACCCAGCTGCTGGTGACTGGTTTGTGGTTGCTCACCTCCCTCCTTCATCCCAGAAGATCGAGGTGAAGGTGAGGGGGGTGACCTCCTGGGATGAAGGCCAAACCCCTTGATGCATGGGATACCACCAGCTTCTTGTCCACCTCTGGGACAGACCTTATGATAATCTCAGCTGTCAGACTCTGGATTCAACTCTTCCCCCTCAAAGATCTCCTTTGTCCTCTATCCTGCGTTCTCTGACCCCTATCACTCCCTGCCTTGTTCTCTCCCAGGGCTCTGTTCCTACCTGTGCCTATATGTTCCAGCCTGATATGCTGGCCATGAGGGTGGTTGAAGTCTCCATCCTGGAGCCTGATGTTCCCCTCCCACAGACGCTGCTCTCCCATCCCAGCTACCTCAAGTGAGTGGAGTTGGGGAGGTCAAGTCTGTCCTGTAGCCCCAACCTTTGAGTTTAGAACAGGTGGTACCATTATCTCATCCTGCAGGTGAGAAGGCTGTACCTTAGAGACATGCTGGGAAGAGAGGCCAGATACCCTCCCTAGACAGATTAGAGGAAGTTCACAGTAGGAGCTAGTGAGTCTGAGTCGCCACCACCTTGCCACAGGATCTTTGTCCCTGAATACACCCAGGAGCTTCGCTTGGAACTGCAGGACTGTGTGTCCAGTGTGAGCTCTGGCTGCCCAGTGCGTCTCACAGTGGGTGGATCTACCCTGCCTAGAAACTTCCAAAAGGTGCTGAGTTGCACTGGCCTCACTCCATCCTGCCTTTTGCTGCTGTCCTCACCACCCTGGGGCCAGTGGCTACAAATGACAATTGAGAACCTGGCAGGACCTCACATGTCAGTGGTCTTCACTGCTAAAGCTGCCTTTACAGGTGGGCTACATGGGAGGGAGGGGTGGACTGGCTCTGCCTACCTCCCCCAAAACTCCAGGCATTTCTCTGGCTGAGCCCCTTATCCTCTTGACAGTGTGCAGGCCATGGAGTGTGACCTTCCATCATCTTATGAAAAACAACCCAAACCAGAGCTCTGACACCTCTGTGGGCCGGCTGTCCCAAGACCCTACCCACTGGGAACTGGGCAGGAGTGGCAGAGTAGGCAGTGTCCCCTTCTGTCTCCTGAACTATCCCGTCATGAGAGAAGACACAGACGTGTTGTCTGTCCACTTCCAACCACTTAACGGGGCCTTCGTGATGGTGCATTCAAATGTGCCTTCTGTAATGCAGCTCCGTCTTGACACAGGCATGGACAGCGGGGGCTCTCTCATCATCATCTTGAAGACTAACCAGGTATCTCTGGAAGCCCACTGAAGTAGTCCACAGTTGCTTGTGACCTGGGTTTAACTCAGGATACAGAGTAACTTCAGCATTGAGACTGGGGTGGGGTGGCCTTTTAGGCCATAGAGTGACACCAGCAGCATGGGCCAAAGGGGATCCATCTGAGGACAGATTTCCTCTAGGTGCAGCCCTGTCCCTGTCAGAAGTTACCATAATTGTACCTGTACAAATGGGCAGGGGAATCACTAGAACCAGAGACAGCTGAAGGGAACTCGGGTCTTGATGAACCTTGGGCTAGCAGGATCCTCCCCTACCCCCCAAATACCCAGCATGACTGAGCTAAAATGCAAGGTGGGCAGGCAAGATACCTTTTTTAGGGGGTGACAATGAATGGCTAACCTGTACTTTTTTCCCTTCTAGACAGAGGTCACAAATGACACCGTGGTAGCAGCTTGTGTGAATGCTGCCTCGCCGTTCCTCAGCTTCAACACTTCATTCAACTGCACCACAGGTATTCTGGGCAGGAAGTTTTGGTGGAGAGACTGACTGGCCCCTCTAGCCACCTCTGACAGCTCCCCCCACACCCACCCCATGCAGCCTTTTTCCAGGGCCATCCCATGTTTCTGAGTGCCTCATCTCACACGGCCAACCTCATCATTCCCTACCCGGAGACAGACAACTGGTACCTCTCCTTGCAGCTTGTGTGCCCTGAGAGTTCTGAGTATGTGAATCTGGGCCTGGGCAACTTGACATGGGCTGGTAGCAATGAAGGGAAGCATCTCTGTGTTAGGAGGGGTTCTTCTTTTCTACCTGCCCCTACCCCACAATAGCACTAACAGGGGAATTGAGTGCCTTAGCTGTTGGAGTCTGGAGGACTCAGTTCTGAGCTTGGAAGTCGTGGTGGAGTGACCTGCAGAGCACTACAACCAGCCCTCTCAAGCTGCTCCTTTGCAGGGATTGTGAACAGGCCAGTGCTCGTGTGGAGACCACCTTGTATCTGGTGCCCTGTTTCAAAGATTGTGGGCCATATGGCCAGTGCCTCCTGCTACGTAGACACGGCTATTTGTATGCAGGCTGCAGCTGCAAAGCAGGTGAGAGTGACCCTGCAGAGCAAAGCAGGGACAAAACTCCCTCCCACTCCTCCCCATGCTTCCCATGCTTCCCCTTCCCCCACCTCACCCCCCACTGCTACAGGCATATGGGCACTGAGGCATTTGCAGGGGAGGTGTTGCCTGCCCTTGACTGCCCAAACCCACACCGTGCCTACAACCATTTCTCTTGCCCATACCTGTCCATGCCTATGTCCAGCTGCTCACACTTTTATTGTGACTAATGCTTTTTTTCATGGCAGTTTCTACATATTCACAAGTGTTCCCATCTGTCCATACTTGTCACATTTATCCCTACATGGCTACATATATTTATATCTGTCCCCACTAATTCATATCTATTCATACCTGCCCCTACCTACACACACCTGTTCACACATCTTTCTCCAAGCTCATGCCTCCTCCCAGAAGGTCATTCTTGCCCACACTCGCCTATATCTACACACATCTGCCCATACATGTTTCCCACTGCCCATGACTGCCTGTACCAGCCATGCTTAATCCTTGCTTCTCCACACCTGCTCATGTCTGCTGTATGTGCACATAACTTGTCCTCCCCATGTCTACATGCGTTTTCCACATTTGTCCCAACCTGCCCACAGCTGTCCCCACTTGTCCATGCCTGCCCACATTTATCTATGCCAGTTTCTATCAGTACCAATTCCCTCCTACCACACCTGTGGATTCCATTAGGCTTACTACACAGCTCTCTCTGGGTGAGAAGGGGCCTGAAAGTTCAGAAGCCTCCTATCCGCTTCCAGGACATACCTAGGTGTTATGTGGCCCCCTAGGTTGGCGTGGGTGGAGCTGCACAGACAACAGCACAGCCCAGACTGTGGGCCAGCAGAGGGCAGCAGCGCTTCTGCTTACACTCAGCAACCTCATGTTCCTGGCCCCCATTGCTGTGTCAGTGCACCGTTCCTTCCTGGTTGAGGCCTCTGTCTACTTTTATACCATGTTCTTCTCCACGGTAGGGTTGGCCATAATCCCTTGGGGAACCTTGGGTGGGGAATGTCAGGGCTGCTGCTCACTGCTTTACCTCACAGTTCTACCATGCCTGTGACCAGCCGGGGGATGCAGTGCTGTGCATCCTCAGCTATGACACACTTCAGTACTGCGACTTTCTGGGCTCTGGGGCAGCCACCTGGGTGACCATTCTTTGCATGGCCCGTCTGAAGACAATCCTGAAACAGGTGAGTGGCCTCTGATGCCAAGCCTGGGCTCCAGGGAAGCAGAGGCCCTCACATACAGTATGTGGAGTGGCCAAGAGGTATAAAACAGAAAGGGCTGGGTGTCAACTCTCACACTCTTGGAGAAAGTCATAGTAAGATATGAAGGAAAGGTGTGGCCATCAGAGGACTTCAGGAAGGGAGATGGGGGTCCAGGACCCTAATCTCAAAGAGGAGCCAGGCCAGGCTTCTCTGAGAAGCCTCAACCATGCTCCTGGGTCCCTTGTCTTAGGGCACTCTGGCGACTCTCTGCAGCAGCTGGACAGTGGAGATGACTCTTTGGTGTTTGTGAACTATGCCCTCTGTCTACAGGCTGGGTATAGCTCATCAGGGGCATGCTTAGGAGCTCCATGATCATATAAAAAACTGGGCAAGGAAAATTCTGAAGAATCCTGTGAGATGAGTTTAAGTGTTTGAACTTGCAGGCTGTGGCAGATGTGTTGATGGAGACTTAGGTATGGGATCCCCTCCAACGGACCATCTAAGGCCATCATGGTGGGAGACCCTGGAAGGCTTGGTATGCAGGATCATGCAAGTGTGTACAACACTGCCCATTAGGAGTGGGCATCACCACCTAGTCCTCAAAAGGTTCTTCTGTGTTCACCCTTGGACACAGTCAAGGGGCTAGAGGAAGGACACTTCCCTCCCAGGTGGCTGAGCTGGAATGGGTCAAAATCCGCTAACTCCAAGAGGAGCTGGCAGATGTACCAGAATGATAAGAAACTGATAATGGGTACCCATGACACTAGCACCTGTTGTGTCTTGTACCATCACAGGTGATTCTAGCTAAAGGCTTCCATGATTCCACAAACCATCCCTGTGTCTCTCCCAGGTCCTGTTTGTACTAGGTATACTGGTCATGGCCATGTCCTTGCAGATGGATCGCAGGGGCATCTGGAACTTGATGGGACCCTGCCTCTTTGCCTTTGTGATCATGGCCTCCATGTGGGTAAGGAATAGGGCACATAGGTTTTCCTGTTTAGACTCAGAGAAGAGAACCAGGCCCTTAATTCTGGTTATAATTCCAGTTTTGCTGCAAGGGCTCCAAAACTCCACATCTACTTAGAGCCAATAGCAGCCATCCATTGAGCCCCAGTATGGCCATGTGCCTGAGGTCTTGGCCTGAGGACCACCAGCCATGAGTCTGTATGCAGTTCTGCTGCCTAGATCTAGATAGACCTCATAACCCCTGGGAACTGTAGTTGCACTCAGCCTGCACTGACATTCATATGGCTGCTTACTCCAGATGTACCGCTGTGGGCACCGGCGACAGTGCTATCCTACCTCGTGGCAGCGCTGGGTCTTCTACATCCTGCCTGGCATCTCCATGGCCTCTGTAGGCATTGCCATCTACACTTCCATGATGACCAGTGAAAATTACTACTACACCCATAGCATTTGGCATATCCTATTGGCTGGTTGTGCAGCTTTCCTTCTGCCACCACGAGAGGAGCAGGCTGAGTCCTGGGCTTGCTTGCAGACGTTCCCCTGTCACTACCAGATCTGCAGGAATGATCGGGATGAGTTGTACACAGTGACATGATATGGCTGGCTCAAGGACACCTGATACTCTGATGACCTCTTCAGCTAGGATGGGAACAAGAGAGGTGCCTATCTATCCCCAACCAGGTTTCCATCTGAATAAAATTGTCCTGCGCTCCTTGGCTTCTTTCTCCAGAGGAGAGGACTCCTCCACCCCAAAATCTTTGTGGCTCCTGCCAATGTCCTCTGTAGGTCTCAGCTGCTTGTACCTGGAGACCACCGGTACCTGTGTGTGTGTGGGCAAATCACTATGTATTAGTTGAAGATGCAGCTAAGGGAGAGATCCTATTGTCTTATTCCTTTGTGAAGCTGTGATATGAGACCTACAAGGCAAGGAAGCCTGAGTCCACAGAGGCCACTGTCTCTGACAGCATGTACCACCCTGCCTTGGCATGGGGATGCCCTATTGCTGCAGTTGCTGTGGTATAGTCAAAGAGCTGATAAGACCCTGGGGTGCCATGCACTGTCCCTCATTCTCTGTTGGAGCCAAAGATCCTGGCAAGTAGGCTGCTCAGCTTTATGAGGTGTGGCCCCAGAAGGTACACACTGCCCTACTGGTGTGCCCTCCTCATCCTAAAAGCCCTAGGCCCTAGCCTTGTGAGCATTCTTTTGTGTTAGCCCTAGGCCCTAGGAAGCTGACCCCCCTACTGGATCAGCTGAGGCTTGAGTGGGTTCTAGAGCCCTGGCCCAATCCTTCTGGTGCCTCCTGGGAGCTCTGAGTTGATTGGTGCAGTGGTGCTCTGTCCCGCTGTGAGGCCCAACTGCTGTGTGGCAGTGGAGCTTTTTTTCCTGGTTTTGTATGGGATGTGGGCCGCTCCCCTTGCTACTGACATCCTTTGTTTGGCCACCAAAGCACACTTCATCCCTTGAAAGGGGAAACATGTATATATTGTTGGGGTGGTGGTAAAATATTAAACTGTTCTATGAAGGTGTATTTTTATGTAATTGATGAATTTAATATTCTACAATGATTTTTCAAACCAAACAAGTGTCTTATAATTTTTTTTCTTGCGTCCTTGGAGAGAAAGGAAGGCTGGACCTAACAGGCCTGCCAAAGCTGTTGGGGAACCCCTGGGCTGCACTTGGTAGACGGTGCCTTGAATCATTACAGTCTCAGATAATTTTCCACGGTCCCTAAAGAAGGCGGAGACAAAGGGATTGTTTTAGATGGTTGGGCGTCGCTACCAATCGGCAGTGAGCAAAGGCACACATTCAATGACGCAATTCCGGTTCCGGTTCCGGCAGACGCGGGCGCGCGACTCAGTTTTAGGGGGGAACGCAATGCCTCTGCATAAGTATCCTGTACACCTGTGGCAGAAGCTGCGGCTGCGGCAAGGCATCTACGCGCGTTTGCCCGCTCACTTCTTGCGCTCGCTGGAGGAAGAACGAACGCCGACTCCAGTGCACTACAAGCCTCACGGGGCCAAGTTCAAGATCAACCCCAAGAACGGGCAGCGCGAACGCGTTGAGGACGTACCCATTCCAATTTACTACCCTCCAGAGTCCCAGCAGGGGCTTTGGGGCGGAGAGGGCGTGATTTTGGGCTACAGATATGCCAACAACGACAAGGTGGGTGCGGGCCACATCGGCGGTTCTGCATGCTTTGTTGGTCAGATTCTGCCGTGGTCGCTGCGGACCGTCTGCTTGGCTGACACAAGCGCTCTGTTTCAGGGAGTATGCTAACAAGTGGAGCGGGGAGGATTTGGAATACTCTAATTGTAAAGGTCTAGTGGGGTCCTGAAGTGAAGTGGTCCTGATCAGGTAGACATCAAAAGTAAGGGTGGAGTGGGGTTGCGGTGGAGCAGGGTGATAGAGTGCTTTCCTTGCTTATATTTAAGGTCTTGGGTTCAAATCCCTAGCACCACAGAGAAAAGAAAGGAAGGATAGATTTGAGGCTTGTGCTGAAGAGGAGGGAGAGGTGAAATCTGGTTGTCACTTGCCAATTTCTATGAGCATTTGCCTAATTTTTGTGACAGGATACCTTTGCTTCTCCCACATAAACATGATAAAGAGTGAGATGCTTGGAGTCAGGCAGCTAACAAGGTGCAGAGCCTGGGATCGATCATTCTGGTGGAATTCTGCTCCTAGTCAAGCGTTGTGGGAGGAGAGTGTACCTTTCAGGCCTTTCAGAATGCCACTTGCTTGCCTGTGGCTGCTGGGTTTCAGTTGTGCCAGCATCTGGAACATATACCAGCAGCATGAGGGCTAGCCTGAGAGAAGTAGACATCTATGTAGGTATTTAGGTCCAGTCCCAGGAGCCCTGTCTAGCAGCAGTGGTTCTGTGGAGCCTCTGAGGAGGAGAGAGGGCAAGCCTCACATAGCCCAGCTCCCAGAAAGGTGCTTTGGGGCCCACTTGATCTGTAGGGAAGCACCCCAACAGTCAACTAGTCTCTCTTAAACACTCAGCTTTCAACGAGGGTAAAGAAGGTGTGGAAGCCTCAGCTGTTCACTCGGGAACTTTACAGTGAGATCCTGGACAAGAAGTTCACCGTGACTGTGACCATGAGGACCCTAGATCTCATTGATGAGGCCTATGGGTTCGACTTCTATATTCTCAAGGCAAGCAGGGGTTAGTGCGCTACAGGGTCTTGTTAGAATAAAGGGAGATGCAGAGCAGCACTGCGTGGGGGTGGGGGAGAGGCGGACAAGGCACCCAGACTAGCCAAAACAACTCTTAGTAAAATACAGTAGGACTTCGTCCTCTTTGGTGCAGCCCAGGGGAAGTTTTCTGCCTTCAGGAAGGTCACTTGTGAATGGTCGTGGTCACCGCTTACCCTTTTCTTGGGATTGCCTTGACCTATACAGGCTTGCATGCTGGTGCTGATCCCCATCCCTGATATGCTCTAGTCTAGCTTATGGTTGGTTACTAGCTCAAGAGGAACCCACAGGGTCAGCTGATGGGGTGGGTGGGACCCTGCTATAGCACCTGGCCCTATGTAAACCTTCTGCCAGACCCCAAAGGAGGACCTGTGTTCCAAGTTTGGCATGGACCTGAAGCGAGGGATGCTGCTGAGGCTTGCTCGCCAGGACCCCCAGCTACACCCTGATGACCCTGAACGGAGACAAGCCATCTATGACAAATACAAGGTGAGAATTTCCCCATCCTGCTTGCTGCCTGAGACTTCTGACCTGGCCCTATACCTCACTGAGTCTTTCTTCTGCTTGCTCAGGGTTTTGTCATCCCAGAGGCAGAGGCAGAGTGGGTTGGCCTGACTCTGGAGGAAGCTGTAGAGAAACAGAGGCTCCTGGAGGAAAAGGTGAGCACCTGTGAACTGGCCACTGAGGTTGAGTAATGGGGGGCTGCTTTGGAGAGAGACTCCCATTTGGGGGCTGCCACACCTGAATGCTGCTATTTGGTTCCTGCCACTTAGACAAAGCATGGCATGCTTCCTCTCTTGAAGTCCTTCCCGCTCTTCCCCTGAATGCTTAGGGACCTTTGGCACTGGGTATTTGCTTGGCCACTCAGCGTCCCTAGGATTTTTCTTTTGTGTCTTTCCCAGTATAGTCTAGAGCCAGTGGTGGCTGCCAGGACAGGGAAACCAGGGGAAGGGTGTGACACTTGGTGTCCAAGAGAAAAGCAGTCCTGTTCTGGCATTAGACTCTGCCCTCCAGGATGGCAGGCAGTCTTTTTGGTTTTGTTTTTCCAAGACTGGGTTTCTCTGTGTAGCCCAGCTGTCCTAGAATGCAGTCTTATGTGACGGCCCATCCCTGGCTCTTCCATGCCCTGTTTTCTCTCCATGTTTAGCTAGAGGCAGTTGGCTGCTAACCTCCCTAGAGCTCCATCTCTGGGCTACATTGAGCCTTACCATGACCTCTCCCCTTCAGGATCCTGTACCCCTGTTCAAGGTCTACGTAGAGGAGCTGGTCCAGCGGCTTCAGGAGCAGGTTCTGTCCAGGCCAGCAGTGGTGCAGAAGAGAGCTGGTGACCACGCCTGACCACTGAGCTCAGCCTTCCCTGTGGGTTTTTAGCACCATGGACACACTTGGGGTGGGCACAAGGACCACCTGTGGGCAATGGGTGAGCCCTGCTTGGTATGTGCTAACCACACAGCTCCTGTAGTAGACTTTTCAGAGAACCTTTCTGTGCTAGGACTCTTGGAGACCTGGAGTGGAGCAGATGCTTGTCCAAGCTGGTCAAGTACTTACAGCATTATAGTTGTTGGACTGGAATAAGTAAAGTCTCAGACAGTGGAGCCACCGTAAAGTGTTCTGGTTTGCTTGGAAGTCTGCAGTCGTGTGCATTCTTGTCCTGGTCAATTCCTTGTCACAGAAACCCAGTTGGACTATTTGCACTGTTCAGCTGTAGCTACTGGCCCTGCTGAGTTGTGGAGACTGAGGTCCCCCTTGTTGCTTAACTTCCTTAGAGAAGTCCCTAATGGTTGAGGCATTCTTCTCTGCCAGTGTACATCCCTGCCTGCTCTGCAATGTTGTCCAGGGCTCAGGAATGGAGCCTGGGGCCTGGTTCAGGTCTCTGCAGTATGCCCTGCAGAGCTAAAAGGGGAAAGCTTCCTGGGTCTACAGCTTCTGCCAACATCTACCCTTCAATGACACAGGAAATGGGGCCACGTGGACTTAATGGCCATGACTTCAGCACCCCCTTCCTTAACTGCTCCCCTCTACCTTGTGGTTGGGGGCTGTGGCTTGAGGTAGGAAGTCAGGCCTCTTTTACCCTGAGAGCTAGTGGCTCAGAGGCATCACCACTGACACCTATTCCTTTCTTTGGGGAGGACAGGGAGGGTCTCCCTAGCTGCATGTGGAGGAAGATGAGGTGGTAGTGCGAGCTGAATTCCCAGAGCCTCACACCTGGCTGGTATAAAAGGGAGCCTGGTCACTGACTTGGGCCTGGCCACTGACTGTAGGACAGTGGGATCCTCGGAGGGGGAGCAATAGGAGTGCCTGTGCTTGGTTGTGTTCATGATGCCAAGTCCAAAGCTGGTGTGGAACCTTTCTGCCAGTGTAAGAGTGCCCACATAGAGATCCATGAGGATCAGGGCTTGTCTTGGGGTCAGAGCCCAAGGGTTGTACTTCAGTTCTTACTCTGTCTATTCTGGCCTCTCTGCCACTGTATAGCATGTAATACTTTCCCTCTGTATAATTCTTTTTTTTTTTTAACTCTTTAGGTGAGGCCTTCCATAGGGTGTCATCAGAGTCTGTCATATCCTTTGGGGTAGGGCCTAGGCCACCCCCGTGTATCTTGGCTCAGGGAGTATTCCTCTATATGGAATAGGCTCCCAAAGTCCACACCTATGATAGGGATAAGTACTGATCTACTACAGGAGGTCCCGCAGATTTCCGAGGTCTCCTCACTGAAACCTGTGTTCCTGGGGTCTGGATCAGTCCCATGCTGGTATCCCAGCTATCAGGTTGGGGACCAAGAGCTCCCCAATGTTCAGGTCAGCTGTTTCTGTGGGTTTCACTAGCCTGCTTTGTATAATTCTTAGGTTAAAATTTTAAAATTATATCTATTTAGTGTGCATGTGTGCTTGCACATGCCATGGCATGCATGTGGAGGTCAGAGGACAACTTGTGGGAGTTTATTCTTTTCCTTCTACCATGTGGGTTCCAGGGATTAATGTCAGGACATTAGGCTTGATGGCAAGTGTCTTTACTGGCTCAGCCATCTTGCTGACTTTAATTTAAAAAGTTTTTACCACCTGGGCAGTGGTGGTGCATGACTTTAATCCCAGCACTTGGGAGGCAGAGCCAGCCGGTCTACAGAGCTAGCTCCAGGACAGTCAGGGCTACACAAGGAAACCTTGTCTCAAAAACAACTTTTTTTTTTCTTAACTTAAAGTAAACAGTACTTGGCTACCTATTGCTGTGTTGGACCCACAGGGCTTTGCCTAATAGTTTAAATCATTAGTATGGTTCCCACAATACTGGCTTTAAATTTGAGTCCTAAATTTAAACTGATCTCTTCAAGCTAGGGCTAGGTGCTTGTTGAGATTGTAATAGTCCTCACTGTTTGACTTGGTTCAGCTAGCT